AATTCGGCATCCAATGTGTCCATAGAACAGATTTTTCTGGTCCTCTGGAAAAGGGTATAAACCAAGTTGCGTTTCCATTGGATGGAAAAAAACTTAGATAATGCAAGTAATGACCTTTCCATGTATTCTTATGGAAGACCGTTCGTGTAATGGAACCATCGTCCTGTCTGAAAAAGTTAACGTCGAGGAAGGAGAGCTAGTTCTCTCGTTCATGTTCTAGTGATCGCATCTTCTTCTTCTGAACTGCTTCCTGGAACTCGCATATTCTCCTCTATTTGTAAATTCAATCTTCGGATGCAAATTGCTCACTTCAGACAATAATTCTTCAGCTTCTTTTAGGTTGTCGACAACTGCGAAAACATCATCAACATATCGCCCATAGAGTGTTATCTTGTCCAATTTGGAAGATACCTTTTTTCTAAATGGCCCATAAATATGTCAGCAAAGGTTGGTCCAAGTGGGCTTCCCATTGCGACTCCGTCAATTTGTCGATATAGTTGGCCATTGAACAAAAATTGGACATCCTTTGTACACAGTTGTAATAAATCTTGTAGTATTTGAGGGGACAGGCGAGTGTCAGAGGAATAAGAACAAATGATGTCTATGGTTTCATCCAGGGGTAGGTTGGTAAATAATGACTCAACGTCCAAGGATATCATGCATTTGTCTGAAATATTATGGTGTCTAATTTCGTCGATAAATTGAAAACTGCCTTTTAATGTATCAGTAGAAAATCTCTTGTGAATTGGCTCTGATTCCTTTACGAGCCACTGCGCTAGTCTATGAAAGGGTGAGTTATACATGGAAGGAATGGGTCGTAAGGGGATACCGTTTTTGAGTTTTAGGTAGTCCGTATAGTCGTGGGATATAGGAACCTCTAAGTTTTAGGGATACAGCAGTTTTGGTATCGATCAAAACCGGAGTCTTCCAGTGCCTTAGTTTCCTCTTTGCCTTGGGCTTCTAGGCGAAATTTACTGGAATCATTTAAGATGGCTTCCATTTTAATTAGCGTAATCCCTGTGATTGAGAATCACCAAACCATGCCCCTTGTCCGGTTTAGAAATAACTATTTCTTTGTGGTTCTTCAACGCAAAAAGAGCAATTGTATATTCTTTAGTGATAGGAGAGCGTTATGTTATTGGAGCTCTACGGTACTGATATGCGATGTCCACAAATTTTGCTTTCATCTAACCCTGGTCATCAGTGGAGCTGGGTTTTAAGTCAGAAAGTTGAGCGTACAAACCCTCAAATTGTGCTTCGACGTCTACTGGATTAATTCGTTTGTTAGGCAAACAGAAATCAAGTCCTAATGAAAGGGCCACTTTTTGCAACTTGTTGAGTTTAATATCCGAAAGATTCAAGGTAAATTCATCTGGGTTCAAGGGGAAGATATTTTCTGTAGGCTTATTACAGATTCACTTGAGTAATTTCCGGCGAAACGTATATCTGGTCTTACTTTGATAATATATTACGTTTCAACTTTCCTGCGTTATTGATTTTGCCTCTTTGCCACATCCTATGACCTTGCAGTTTATATCGATTTTTCTGTATGAATTCAATTTTGTATTTCTCTTACGTCATTCACGTTATAC